ACCCTCTTCTACCATCATGAGCTGACCCAGAGCCAGCACAACAGAGAGACAGCCTTGGCGGCCTCAGCATGAGTGTAAACATCACCAGCTGCTAGAGAGCATGACATCAGATCCGAGCCTGCCCGGCAATGGCCTTGGGAGGCTCCATACACAGAAAGAGGCCATCCAGTCCCCTGGGGCGGGAGGCAGTGAGAGGCCCCGTGTGCAGACGTGCCTCTGAGGTGGTCTGAGGTGACATTTGATGGCTCGGTCCCTTCTCAAGGACCACCTGAAACATATCTGCAGAAGTCAGACCATCTTAACATGGTTATTTTGACTAGCTCACATCAACTGCGCCTGCACTGTAGGGTTCAGTGGGATATTTCCACTCAAGTATACAGTGTGCACCTAACGGCCTCTCTTCACCCCGCTGCCACCCCTGAAAACCCACATCCTTCTCAGTGTCTAGTAACTGATATTTCCCTTAAACTCATCCTCCTTCCCCAGCCTTCCTGTGCTGGGGTTATAGGCACATGCTACCATAACTGATTTTGCTAATCCCTCCCTGTTCTGTGTGAACATCAGCTCGGCCTGAGCTTTGTCAAATTAGCTCCTGGGAGTTGTAACCGTGCTTCCTAAAGCACATCTTGCGTAGCAATGAGTCTAAGAGACCCAGCCTTCCTGGGTTTCTGTTTCATTATCTGAAACGATGAGAATAGCATCTACTAAGAGGATGCAGGTTAACACAGTGAGTGCCTGTCATGTGACAAGTGCTGGGGTCACACCAGCAAAGAAATCCAAGTCCCTGCCCCCATGGTAGTTAATGGAGAAAGGCAGACACTAATTCCATACATATTTAATATAACAGATGGCGGTTAAGTGTGGTGAAGTAGCTAAGGCGCTGGAGGGCAGATAGAGTGTCGGTGTAGGGAGTTGTTTTCCTTAAGGACGGTCAAGGAAAGCCTCTCTAAAAAAGATGATCCCAAAAACAGAGAGGATGGGCAACCCCAGCGGTGGAAGGCTGAGCATTCGGAGCTGGAGGCTGTATAAACAGAGACAACATAGCCGGGTGCGGTGGCGCGGGTCTGTGATCCCAGCACTCGGGAGGCAGAGGCAGGTAAATCTCTGTGAGGTGGAGGCCAGCATGCTCTACAGAGCGAGTCCAGGACAGCCGAGGCTACACAGAGAAACCCTGCCTCCACAAACCAACCAACCAAACAAACAAACAAAAGACAACAACAGCCCCACAAAGCAGGCTGCTGTGGGGCATCTCACCTGTAATCCTAGCCCTTGAGAGTCTGGGGCAGGAGGATTGCCATGAGTTCATGATCAATGTGAGCTACATAATTAGTTCCAAACCATCCTGGCTACATAGGGGCCTCCAAGTCAGCCCGGACTGCAGAATGAGAGCTTATCTAAAAAACTCAAACCAAGCAAAACCAAAAATGACCTGTCTAAAACCAAATCAAATAATGGACTGGGAATGTGGACGAGCGGTTAAGAGCAGTTGCTGCAGTGGCAGAGGATCTGAGTGGTGTAACAAGCACCTGCCTCAGGTGGGTTACGATGGCCGGTCACTCCGGTTCTAGAGTCTCCGGCCATCTCTTCTTGCCTCTGGGGGCACTGCACACACACAGTGCACTTACAGGTAAACAGGCACACACACACACACACACACACACACACACACACACACACACACA